CGTCTTCCCCTTAGAACAGCAGGCTGCTCTCCTCCTTGGCGCCTCTGGACACTGTTTCTTACTGGCTGCGTCACTGTCGAGTTGGCGTGGCGACCTGCTTGCTGTCAGGTGCTGGCCTTCCGGCACTGTCCATGGCCCTGATCCACAGCTGACAGAAGGCCATGGTGCCTGCCTCACCGTGCCTCCTTCGCTTCAAGATTGTCAGGGAGCACCCCCCCAAAGCCAAGTGCAGGCAGCCGAGAGGGAAGCCTTGGCCTTCACCAGGTGAGACCGCTGGTCTGGAAGCAGGTGCCAGGGGAGGAAGCTTGCTGGAACAATCCCCAGGGCAGTAGATACTCCAGCTCCGGCCCTGACCCCACAACGCAGCACCTGCTGATGTTGGAGACCTCTCCGGCCGCAGCGGCCTGTCTTCAAGATGCAAGTGCGAAGGCGGCCAGGAACTGCTCTATCACCTGACCCAATTACAACTGGCACGCCAGACGGGGCGCGCGGAGGCCTGGGTGGATGCGGCGCCCAGGTGCCGGCCCTGGCCCATGGCGGAGACGATCGCCTGGCTGGGGCGGTGTCGGCTAAGTCACAGTGATTCTGGACCACAGAGGCGGAGCCGAGACTCCTGCGGGAATGACAGACTGGGTACAGCCAGTGTCTGGCCCGGGCCAAGCCAACAGGAGCCCTTGTGGCCTGCCACAGCCCAGGGCCGCGCGGGGAGAGCTGCTTCTGGCACACTCCAGCGCTGGGCAGTTAGAGCACAGAGCGGGGAGGTCCCCACCTGGCACCAGGGCCTGGCCGACGGCAGGCCAAGTCCTGGCCCCTCCTCTTCCTTCTTGCACAGAATCAAGACCCATGTGTCCCCCTGACCCGTCCAACCATGAGCGCCTTCACCATGGCGCCTCTGTCCTTGCTGCCTCTCCAAATCTGCCGTAGCGGGTGGCGCGCTCACATCTGTCCCCCCTTCCCAGACAGGCGGGTCAGACCTCCACGCCGTACCTGTTCGACCTCTGCCCGCCCCCTGCCCAGCCCTCGCCAGAGCCCTGTCACCTCTTGCCATGCCAATTGCCACGGGGACAGGTCCCTGCTGCACCCATCACTTCAAACCCAGCAGCCTTACCCTCCAGGCATCCCCTCTCCCTCCCGGCTCCTGGCTCCACCGGTCCACGAGGTCCCCCAGGCCTCTCAGAGAACCCAGCACCTGTCGGGCACTGGGCAGTCCCGTCCCTCGGCACAGCTGCTACAGGACCCTCTCCATTTTTTTTTCTTTGAGACACAAAGGTGAGAGCGTTTGATTCACTCCGCAAACCCCCAAAATAGCTGAGTTTAGACCAAGCTGAAGCTAGGAGCTGCGAACCACTCATTCCTGGGGGTGGGGGGGGTCTGGACCAGCAGGAGGCTGGAGTCAGGAGCCTAAGCCTCACAGCAGGCCCACGGAAGGCGATGCAAGCACAGCCCCCCGCCCCTGCCGTCCCAGGAAGGCCTAGAACCCCCCCTAGCAGTTACTGCAGCTGCCTCCCCTTCGGTCAGCTCCAGGGCCGCATCCACGCGCCTGGGTGTCCAGGCTCTCCAAACAAAAGCCCGGCCCGGGACAAGCTCGGCTTTCACCCCACACTAGCCCTCAGAGTCAAGCAGGGCTCTCCCCTCCCCCGCGCAGCCCCAGCACTGCGGGGGGGGCCCCCCAGGAGCTCTCTGCATCGGAAGTGAGTGTGTGCGTGGGGGGGGGGCCGACATCCTGCAGGAAAAAAGCAGGTCAGCCTCTGCCCACGCAACCGCACGCGGGACACACCACTCCATGGCCCATCAGAGGCTCATTTACAAAGCGGTAACTTTGTGCGGCTCCGGGATGCCCTGCCCGCTCCCCCGTTGCGCCGCTGAGCGCTCCTGGCTGAGACAAAGCCCCCGGGTCCACTCCGCTCCCGGCTGGCCCCCCGTCCGCGCTTTCCCGCCCTCGGCTCCCCTCCCCCTCCGAGGCCTCCTCACCTCCGCCAGGAGGCACCCGGGGGCCGGCCGGGCTTGGGTAACGGCTCCCCTTCCTGGGGCCTCCACATCCGCCCGAGCCTCACCATGCCCACGTCCAGCAGCGAGCTGAGCCCCGCGCACGCCGTGACCATGGCCTCCCCGGAGCCCCGCGGGACCCGGCCCGGCGGCCACGGCCGGGCAGCTCCGAGGAGCGCAGGCCTCCGCTCGCCTCCCCTCTGCAGCCTGGCTCTCGGCCGCCACCTGCAGGCGGGCGGCGGGCACGACGCTGCGCCCGGCTCCCGGCTCCGGCAACTGCCCGCGCCCCGCGCCGCGCGCGCCAACAGTTGATGCCCGGGTGGGGGCGGGGGTCCGGGCTGCGGGCTCGAGCGCCGCGCCGCCCAGGCCGTGCCGCCCAGGCCCCCATGCCGCCCAGGCCGTGCTGCCCAGGCCCCCATGCCGCCCAGGCCGTGCCGCCCAGGCCGTGCTGCCCAGGCCCCCATGCTGCCCAGGCCCCCATGCCGCCCAGGCCGTGCTGCCCATGCCCCCATGCTGCCCAGGCCGTGCCGCCCAGGCCCCCATGCCGCCCAGGCCGTGCTGCCCAGGCCCCCATGCTGCCCAGGCCCCCGTGCTGCCCAGGCCCCCATGCCGCCCAGGCCGTGCTGCCCAGGCCCCCATGCCGCCCAGGCCGTGCCGCCCAGGCCCCCATGCCGCCCAGGCCCCCATGCCGCCCAGGCCGTGCTGCCCATGCCCCCCACTGCCCAGGCCTCCATGCTGCCCAGGCCCCCATGGTGTCCATGCCCCCGCTGCCCATGCCCCCATGCTGCCCATGCCCCGCGCTGCCCATGCCCCGCACTGCCCAGGCCCCGCACTGCCCAGGCCCCCATGCTGCCCAGGCCCCGCGCTGCCCATGCCCCGCACTGCCCAGGCCCCGCGCTGCCCATGCCCCGCGCTGCCCAGGCCCCCATGCTGCCCAGGCCCCGCACTGCCCATGCCCCGCGCTGCCCATGCCCCGCACTGCCCAGGCCCCCATGCTGCCCAGGCCCCACACTGCCCAGGCCCCGCACTGCCCATGCCCCGCGCTGCCCAGGCCCCGCACTGCCCAGGCCCCGCGCTGCCCAGGCCCCGCAGTGCCCAGGCCCCCATGCTGCCCAGGCCCCGCTGCCTCTCAGCACCCAGAGACCAAGGCAATTGGCTTCAGGCCCCAAAACTTGCAATCGGTACCAACGGGAGACAACACTGCGGGTCGGCGCTGAGGCCCAGGGGGTGAGGCATCCTGTACTGATACCGGTTCGAGTCCCGGCTGCCCCACGGTGGATCTGGGTAGGCGCAGGTACTTAGGGCCCTGCACCCGCAGGTATTTAGACCCCCTCCGTCCCCCCCAAAGTGCCTGGCTGTTGGCTTTGGAGCGGCCATTCCGGCCGTCTGCGGAGAGAACCAGCGGATGGAAGATGCGTCTCTCCTGCTCTTTGTAAATTCTGCCTTTCTAATCCTAATAAGAACACGAGGCAGGGAGCGAGAAGAGCAGCCAAGCAAGCCGCAATTCTCCTTTCTCCCCCTTGTGGCCCCATAATACGGGACTCTGCACCCCAACACTGACTCCCACCAGGCTCCTCACACAGCACACCCCCAGCTGAGCCTCCAGGCCGGGATGACCACAGCGCCTGGGCCCTGCAGGGCCGTGCAAGGGGGTCCAGGGGGTCCAGGGGGTCCAGTCCTCGGCAGCCCCTGCTGGCCACTCGCTCTTGGCTCCTGATGGGCCGTGTCCTCCTCCGCACGACCCCCCCCCCAGGATCCCAGCACAAGACCATCACACCCGACACGGCTCAGCTCGGGCACCGAGAGCGAGCAAGCCAGCCAGCTGCAGGAACTTCGGCGGCAGAAGAGGGAGTCTTGCTGGAACCAGAGACCCCACCCCCTGGAGCTGGCTGATCCTGAGCCTTACTGGGGAGCTGTGCACCCTGGGGGGGACCCCTCGTGGGATGCGGGATGCAGACCCCTAGCCAGTGAGCACCCCCACCTCCGCCTGGGCAATGCACGTGAAGACCGGGGGATGTGGGGAGCTGGCAGGGGCCGACTCCCTACCCTCGCCCCCACGTCTCCTCCCCTCTGCACCCCCCTGCACACAGTAGGTCTCCAAGACCCCAGGTTTTTTTTTTTTTAAAGTAGAGCCTCGCTACAGCGGACACACCGGAAAAGGAAGAAGGCGCATCCACCCCATTGTTCAACCGCCAGCAGTTTTCAACACACACACACACACACACACACACACACACACACACACACGCACACGCGCGCGCGCGCACACACACACACAATTTGACAAACCCCCGAAGTCCCACGCCCCACGATCAGTAAGCTTTGTTAAAGAGATGGCGCTCACCAAAAAAAAAAAAAAAAAAAAAACCCACAAAAAACAAAAAAAGAAAAGAAAAAAAAAACGATTTTTTTTTGTGTGTGTGTGTGTGTGTGCTTCCTTCTCTCCCAATTTTGCTTTTTCCCCGAGCAGCTCTGCACGCTCCTGGGGGTGCACGCGAGATGGCAGGGGCAAGGTGGAAGAGACGGGTGGGAGGAATGGAAATTTAGAAAAAATAATAATTTAAAAAGAAAAAAAAAAAAAACAAACCCCGACCTGGGAGATCTCCTCCTCCCCCCCACCCCCGCCCGCCGCCCCTCACCCCCAGCCCCACCGATCGGTCCTCCTCCTGGGACGGACCGACCCCCCTATTTTAAAAAATAATCATAATAATCATCATGATAATAATGAATAATAAGGGCATGGGCGGCACTGCCCCGCGCTGCGAGCCGGTGGGCCGTGACCCCCCGCCCGCTGCCCACCCCGCGCGCGCCCCCCGAACCCCGACCCACCCCCGCCCGGGCGCGTGCACGACACGCCGCCCCCCTCGAGGAATCCGGGCCCGGGGCCAAGCCCCCCGAAAACCTGCGGCCGGGCGCCCTTGCAGCAGCAGCAGGCCCCGGGGCCTCGAGCAGGCCGGCAGGCGAGCGCAGGCCCCGCCGCGGCCTAGCCCCGGTTCAGGCGCCTCCCGCCTCACCTGGACGCGGGCGGGCGGGCCCGGGCTGGGGTGGGGGTGCTGCTCCGGGGCGGGCGGTCAGTCAGGCAGGCGGGCGACCAGGAAGGGCGGGCGGCGCACAAAAAAGGGGTTCGGTACGGTCTCGGGGGACCGGTTCAACGGAGGCGGAGGAGACGGCGACGACGGCGGCGGCGGCGGCGGCAGCGGCGGCTCCTCCTCAAGCGCGCACGACCCGCTCCGGCCCGAGCCCCCGGACACGCCTCCTCCCCCACCTCCCGGCGCGCACGCTGATTGGCCTGCGTCCTCCGGGGCGCGCTGTTCATTGGTAGGAACGGCTGTCGCGGCGCTGCGGAGGCGGGATTTCCGGTCGGGGAGGCCTGCGATGAGGGCTTGGGCGGCCGGCGGAGACGCGCGGGTGGCCGGCGATGGCCGCGGACGAGAGGACGAGGCGTCCGGGCCCAGACCCGCGACGGAGGCCCGCTCGAGGCCAGCACCTTACCGTGGCTGCCTCGTACCTGTCTGCAGTCCCAGGCAGGTAGGGAGGAGTCAGTACAAAGGGGACCGGGGCTGTGGGTGCTGGTGGTGCTGAGTGGTGATGCTAGGGGAGGTGATGGGCCCCAAGCCCCGGGTTCGAATCCCAGGTTGGGGGAAGCCGATGTCAGCTCGCGGGACCTGCTGCTGCGAGGAGTCAGGGCCTGGGATGTTAAGAAAACTCACCCTCATTCGTGACACTTCCCTTGCACGTATATTGTATATCCCTTCCTTGCAGCCTTACCACTTACTGTGCAAGTCATAGTTTGTTTATTTTTGTTTATTTTTTTTTTTCCCCCAAGGAGGTGACATGCTGGATCAGCGCTGTCCGGGAGAAAGGAAAGCAAGCCACAGATGTGAGGCACTTACTGCGTTTGAATGTATTCTTAGTATTATTTTTTAGGAGGGTGGGTGCCACGATGCCACAGGTGGGAAGTGCTTGAGTCTGGGGTCAGAGTGACTGGGCTGAAGTCCCCAGCGCTTCTGCGTTTGGCATCCTGCACTTGCATGCTGAAAAGGAGCAGGTAGTTGGGGCCCCACCCAGCCACACCCACATGGGAAACCTGGTTGGAGTTCCACGCTCCTGGGTTTGGTTGTACCATTCCAGTCCGTGACAGGCATCTGGGCATTTACCCCACAGATGGGAAGATTTCTTCCCACCCTGGGTCTGATGAGAGGGCCTCAATTGCCTGATTCTCCACCTCCAAGCACCAACATCCCCATATGGGCGCCGGTTCTAATCCCGGCAGCCCCACTTCCCATCCAGCTCCCTGCCTGTGGCCTGGGAAAGCAGTGGAGGACGGCCCAAAGCCTTGGGACCCTGCACCCGCGTGGGAGACCCGGAAGAAGCTTCTGGTTTTGAATCGGCTCAGTTGGGGCCATTTGGAGAGTGAAGCAGCAGATGGAAGAACCTTCTGTGTTCTTAGTAAATATTGCCTTTCCAATAAAAATAAATAAATCTTATAAAAAAAAATAAGATCGCCCCCACCCCACCATTTTTTAAAAAGGGTTTATTTTATTTACTTTTTATCGGAAAGGCAGATCTATAGAGAGGAGGAGAGACAGAAAGATATTCCATCCACTGGGTCACTCTCCAAACAGCCACAACTAAGCTGATCCGAAACCAGGAGCCTTCTCCAGGTCTCCCATGCGGGTGCAGGGTCCTAAGGCTTTGGGCTGTCTTCCACTGCTTTCCCAGGCCACAAGTAGAGAGCTGGATGGGAAGTGGAGCATCCGGGACTCGAACCTGCGCCCCTGTGGGGGGGGTCCAAGTCCTTCAGGGGAGTAGCTCATTCTTCGTTATCTCGTTTCTTCCACTTGTCTAAGGCTTCCTCGGCCTTCCTTCCGGGTGTTGATTTTAGGCCAGGGTTACAAGCCAGTGCTGCTTCTGGACCTCGCTGCGCAAACTCTGTTTTTTGCCCAGTGTGTGCCCCCAGGCTCCACCTTAGCATACAACGCCAGGGAGCGCTGTTGGTATTGTCAGCCCGGTTTTAGAGACCAGGGTGTGGCTGGTGGCAGGCGGGACAGTGCCAGCTCAAGTTGGAGCCTGATTCCAAGCCTGGCTGCTCTGTTCCCACTTCTCATAGGAAGCTTGCACCCCAGCACACGCGCAGGAAACCTGCGTGCAGTCCAGCTTGGCGCAGCCCCAACTGTTAGGCATGTGGGGCAAGAACAAATAGATGACAACTCCTTTTTTTTTTTTTCTGCCTTTCAAATAGATAAAAATATCTTCTAGAAAAAAAAAAAATAGGGGAGCCCAGTCTGATAGCCTTGTGACTAAACCCTTGCCTTGAATGCGCCGGCTTCCCATCTGGGCGCCGGTTCTAATCCCGGCAGCTCCACTTCCCATCAGTTCCCTGCTGTGGCCTGGGAAAGCAGTGGAGGACAGCCCAAAGCCTTGGGACCCTGCACCTGCGTGGGAGACCCGGAAGAAGTTCCTGGCTCCTGGCTTCGGATTGGCTCAGTTTCAGCTGTTCCAGCCACATGGGGAGTGAACCAGCAGACAGAAGATCTTTTTGTTTTTCCTCTCTGTAAATCTGACTTTCAAAAAAAAAAAAAAAGAATTTAAAAAAATCAGGGGCAGAATCTGGCTCAGTGGCCCCACAGGCCAATTGTTCGCCTTGCCCCACTTCCGATCCGGCTCCCTGCCTATGGTCTGGGAAAGAGCCGAGTACAGCCCAAATGCTGGGACCCCAGTCCCACATGGGTGACCCGGAAGAGGCTCCTGGCTCTCGGCTCCGAATCCTCTCAGATCCAGCCATTGTGGCCATCGGGGGAGTGAACCAGCAGGTGGGAGATCTTTGTCTCTCCTATTCTTTGTAAATTTGTCTTTTCAAAAAAAACACAAATGCTGGGTACCTGCCAGCAGCACCTGTGGCTGGTAGGGTATCGTTTCTTTGAAATCAACACTTTTTTTTTTTTTTAGGTTTTATGTATTTTTATTGCAAAGTCAGATCTACAGAGAGGAGGAGAGACAGAGAGCAAGATCTTCCATCTGATGATTCACTCCCCAACTGGTGATGCGCCGATCCGAAGCCAGGAGCCAGGAACTTCTTCTGGGTCTCCCACACGCGGGTGCAGGGTCCCAAGGCTTTGGGCCGTCCTCCACTGCTTTCTCAGGTCACAAGCAGGGAGCTGGATGGGAAGCAGGGCTGCCGGGATTAGAACCGGCGCCCATATGGGATCCTGGCACATTCAAGGCGAGAACTTTAGCGGCTTGGCCACGGTGCCAGGCCCAATTGTCAACACTTTCTTTTTTTTTTTTTAAAGATTTATTTTTATTATTTTTTATTGGAAAAGTGGATATACAGAGAAGAGAGTCAGAGAGGAAGATCTTCCGTCCGATGATTCATTCCCCAAGTGAGCGCAACGGCCGATGCTATGCCGATCCGAAGCCAGGAGCCTCTTCCGGGTCTCCCACGCGGGTGCCCGGTGCCAAGGCTTTGGGCCATCCTCTGCTGCTTTCCCGGGCCACAGGCAGAGAGCTGGAAGGGAAGCGAGGCTGCCAGGATTAGAACTGGTGCCCATGTGGGATCCCAGGCGTGCAAGGCGAGGACTTTAACCACTGTGCCACCGGGCCGGGCCCGTCAACACTTTCTAACCACCCGCAGTGCACCCTGCCCTGTGTGTGAGGACCAGGGCCACACTGGGTGACTGTGGCTGCACGTGGGATTTGGAACATCAGCTGGTAACACAAGTGGCTCCATCCCTTGCCGTGTGTTTTCTCTAGACTGCAGCCCCGGCCCCTCGCTACTGCCACTCCCCTCTTCCCACCACCCCCCACATCCATAAACAAGAGGTGATAATTATACCGATCCCTGAGGGCACACTAGGAGCCCGCTGGATGCCATCTCCCACTTTAAGGGACTGGCACAGGGCCTAGGCCTGCAGGCCTTCCTTCCTTCGTTTCATAACAGGCTTGTTCCCGCCGTGCCCCCAACTCCCCTCGGCCGATGGGAGCACGTGACAGGAAGGCCTGACCCCATTTTTAGGGGTGGCCCCAGCAAACCCTGCTGACATCAGCAGCTTCAGAGCCAAGGGCCCAGGGGCTGCCACGCTACCAGGCAAAACAAAAGTATTTCAGGCCGAAAGACTTGCAAGTGCAAAAGCCCCGACCTGGCTGGGGGCCCAGTACATTGAAAGTATGAAAGAAAGCTAGTAAGTGTGTGTGTGGGGGGGGCAAGATGGGGTGCACGGGTGCGTGGATGGCAGAGCTGAGATGGCATCTCAGGGGCAGGACAGGAAATGATTCGGAGTGTGTGTGTGTGTGTGTGTGTGTGTGTGTGTGCAATGAACAGGACTGCGAATGGAATCCCGAAGGCTCAGCTCCGCGATCTGTTCTGATCCAAAGTTTTTTGTTTGTTTTTTTCAGATGTATTTATTCATCTGAAAGGCTAATGTGACCCTGAACATGAAAGGAAGGGGCAGGGCCTCCATCCACTGCCGGTGGCCACAGCCCAGCTCCATGCTGGTCTCCCACCCTGCAGCGTACAGGAGGGCACCAGGTACTTGGGCCACTGCCATCCGGGCACACTAGCAGGTAGCCACATCGGAAGCGGAGCGGCCGGGATACAACGCCAGCACCCGTGATGTGAGACGCCTGTGTGACAAGAGGCGGCTTAACCACCGATAGCGCCTGTGCCAGCCTCCCGGGCAGAAGTCAAGGTAGGACACTCTTATCTCCCGCTGTTTGGGGGTTTCTTTTGGGTTTTGCTACGAAGTACAGTTTGACCCTGGGGGGGGGGGGGGGGCAGGCATCTGAGTATGGCTCCAGGCGGTTGGGTTGTTTTGCTTGGTTTTGTTTTATTTATTTATTTATTTATTCATTTTTAAAGATTTATTTGTTTATTGGAAAGTCAGATATACAGAGAGGAGGAGAGACAGAGAGGAAGATCTTCCGTCCGATGATTCACTCCCCAAGTGAGCGCAACAGCTGATGCTATGCCGATCCAAAGCCAGGAGCCAGGAGCTTCTTCTGGGTCTCCCACACGCGGGTGCAGGGTCCCAAGGCTTTGGGCCGTCCTCCACTGCTTTCCCAGGCCACAGGCAGGGAGCTGGATGGGGAAGCGGGGTTTCCGGGTTTAGAACCAGCGCCCACACGGGATCCCGGCGTGTTCAAGGCGAGGACTTTAGCCGCTAGGTTATGGCGCCAGGCCCAACATTTTCTCTTGAAAGGGTAGAGCGAGCTCCGCC